AAATATATAAATAAATTTATATTTTTTATTATATAAATAAATAATAATAATTTGTTATTAAATAAAATTACTTAAAAATTATATTTAGAAATAACAATTCAATTTTTATAAATATAAATTATTATATTTTTATTTAAAATTTTTATTAAAAAATTAAAAATCAAATTAAGTAACAAAAAGTAGTTTTTACTAATTATATTGCTTGCCCTCAAAGTTCCATTATTTTTGTATTTTAGCCGCTTAGTTGCCTCTAACATGTCTTATGCCCTTCTTTTTTTCCTCTTTTTTTTTTTTTTTGTAATTTATTAGAAGCATTTTCTCTAAATTAAGGCAAAATTGAATTCTTCACTAAATTAAGAGAAAGGGTGTGATTAGGGATGGTAACAAATCCCTAAGTGTGGGAATATCCTCCCCTATCCTCATTTTCCGTTAATTGCTGAAGTAGGGATTTCCACTAAAACTTTTAGTAGGGCAAAAAAATGTCTTCCATTCAAGAAAGTCTAATATACAATGGGGATACCACGTCAGTTGGTGTGGTATCCCCATCCAATTACATCATTACAACTCACTAAAATTATTTCATTTCATTATCCACGTTATATATTAAATGATACACCTCACCTGACAAAAAATTTAATGTAACTTAAAACCAACGGAGTATTCAGTCAAGATCTTATCTTTCTCTCCCTTCCTTTCTTCCCAAGGGTGCCTTTTGTTTTCTACTCCATCTTCTCCAGATCTTCCATCTCCCCTGCTCTTGTTCATCATTGACCACTGCTTGCTTACACAGTGTCCCTTCCATTTTCCCCTTTAACTGTCCAACAGATGAGTTACTTTAGATCTGGTTGGTTTTTAAGTCTGGGATTTAGGAGAAAAGACAAACTCTATGTCTGGATTTATGTAAATTGGAAAACCCATTTGAATTTACTGATATGAAATTTCAGTTCTCTTCGCATAGATAATACCACCAGCTATATCTTCAACTTGGGTATCTTGGACAACATGAACTCTACCCTTCAAGCCACTTTTATGTTTTCCAATTTGAAAAAAAGCTTCTCAATTTCTCTAATTATCTGACGCATTAGAAAATTCCAGATGATTTTTTTTTTTTATGAAAATCTTCAGCTAATTAAATACACGAAAATTGCAAATTTCATGGTTCCAAAATTGAATCAACATCTGGGCATTTCCTAGCATTGACTTATTTGAATAAAAATCAAGAATCAAAAACACAATTTTGTGAAAGAGAGGGTAGAGATTTGGCTAAGACAGAGAAGAGAGAGATGAGACAAGCGATGGAAAGAGAAAGTTCATGTAGGAGAAATTCTCCGTTAGCTTATGTGTAGATGATGTAATTAATGGTATGTTTTGCTGAGTTGTAATAATACTATTGGATGGGGATACCAACTCACGTGCTATCCCCGTTGTATAGTAGACTTTCTCGTTCCATTCCCATCGTTATAGGGAATGGTTGGTTAATGCATATATATGAAATCCTTATCAAATATTAAAAATATAAAATTTAATCTTAATCTTTTTGATAAATAAATTTTATAACATCATATAAAAAGTAATTCATAGAGTATAAAAATAAAAATTTATAAAAGTAAAAATTTATAAAAGTAAAAACATGTAAAAAATTTTATAAATACCATAGAGAATATTAAATAAAGAAATAAAATAAAATAAAATTTAAAACAATTCAAATAAACAAATACATTACACATATAGTTCATGTTTCTAGTAAATGCATACAATCCTACAATTTCATGCAACAGTCCAATAATGTCCAGCAAATGCTCACCACAAAAAAAAAAAAAAAAAGGCATAAAAGAGGAGAAATTTGAAGAGGAAGACTAAAAAAAGGCATTGGGTTAGGTAATTTAGATTTAATTAATTAGTTGGATGAGTGAAAATTAAATAATAATATATTTATAAAAATATATAAATAAATTTATATTTTTTATTATTTACAGATTTCTGCAAGGGACCTATGAAGTGAAGAAAATTTTTTGCAAAATTTTTTAAAAAAATTATTTTCATTTCCACCTATAAAGAAAAATATTTTCTGAATTTCTATATCACAATGAAAATTCTTGCAAAATTCTGTAGGTTTTGAAGTAAATTATCATCTCCTAATATTATAGATACAGTGTCCATCAAAAAAGATGGCAGAACTACTAGAATTTTCCCACGCGTAGGATTCATTTTTCGTGCTGTTGACCCAGGAGTACAAGTCTATCTTCAATAGCAATTGCAAGGTTTCATCAGTAACCACTTCTTCTTCAATCTCATTTGCTCCAACTTATCTGCAAAAAAAATGGCAGAAGCAATTGTTTCCACTCTCTTAGAGCAGATAACAACAATCACCTGTGAAGGAGCACTAGAGGAAATGAGACTTCTGAAGGGGGTTAAGAAAGATCTGAGAAAGCTCAAATTCAATCTCACATCCATCAAAGCTTTACTTAAAGATGCTGAGCAAAAGCAAATATCAGACGAAACTGTCCAGTTATGGTTAGATCGGCTGCAAGAAGAGTCTCTTGACATGGAGGATGCTCTAGATGAGTGGAGAACCGTACTTCTG